TGTGTGTGTTTGTTTTTTTGTCTCTGTTGTGTGTGTGTGTGTGTGTGTGTGTGTGTGTGTGCGCGCGCGCGCGCGCGTGTGTGTGTGTGTGTGTGCACTTGAACGGGTGAAATGCAGAGCACAAATTCCAAGTATGGGTCACCATACTTGGCCACACATCACGTCCTTTCCTTTCCTTATCTATAAATGTTCAATAAAAACAACAGCAGCTTTCAGCCTGTCACCATGATGCAAAAATTAAATATCAGACATACAGTAGTTACAGGTTTTATATTCGCTTGCGCTGCTTTTCCATTTTTTCTATGTAAAAACGCATTCTATATGAGATAAATCAGATATACATCAAATAAACACAATATTACAACGTACAATTGCACAAAAGGCTGCAAACGAACAGCGCGCATCTGAAGTGTCTCTGAAGAAAATAATGCATTATTTATCGGCTTTAAGATATCGGCCAAATTTTCTTATCAGGCCGATACCGATAACAGAAAAAATTAGCATTTATCGGCCGATACCGATATGGTGGCCGATATATCGTGCATCCCTAATTTTTTCTATGTAAACATGAATGTGTTTGACTGTTGCACTCGCATCAATTGCAGCGTCTCATGCATGAAATGGCATTCTATAAACGCGGCGCTCAAGCATATAGTCTAGGCGCTCAAGTTAAAAGAAGTTCACTCTTATCTTCTTGCATGTTTTTCCTATTCCACTGCCCGCATCACATTTTGTCAACACAAAAGCGCAATCTGTGTTAGTGAGTGGCGCCTAGTGATATGAGCGTGTCACACATGAGCGGTTAATCACGTGCGCCGACATGCGGTTGGATTGTTCTTTTCTTTTTACTGTTATCACTGGCATATTCTCAAAGTGTCTAATTCTAATGTTTGGTAATATTTCTATTCAAAATCACGATTCCTCGATTTCTAAAAATAAAATTGTGGCAAAACATTTAAATTCGAATTAATTGATCAAATTGGAGAAATCGCCCAGCTCTAACGTGCAATTTAGCGCTTTCTGTTCATATTCTGGGCTTATCTGCTTTCCTGTTGGCTATGTAGTATATTTTATTAAACTAAAACCGTGACTCGAACTAAGCACTGACTGTATTTCTTCAGGCTGTATGAACCACTGCAAGCTGTAAAGTAAGCAGGAAGTGTTTGTCTGAACTCAACTGGTTTTGCCAGAGAACGCAAATATCTTTGTGAGGGAATGCAAACATTTTTGCGAGAGAATGCAAAGTTTCTCTGGGGAATGCAAATGTTTTGTGAGAGAACGCAAAAGATTTGAAAATACTTTTTTTTTTTTTTCTCCCACCCCATATTTTTCCACCACCATGTTCCTTTTAGGGCCTCCGTACAGTTCTTATCATATAAGTGAAACAATGTTAAATCTGTCAGTTTAAAAGAAAATGTATCTTTATCTTTTCCACCAGCTTATGTGATTTGCAAGATTGTGATCTTTTTATAGCTGTGACTCATTATAGACATGCTCTGAGATTGACAATTACATTAAAGTCTGTGTAAAGCAATATTAAATACGTGTTCTGAGATTGTCACACCACAGAAAAATGTGTTAACCACTCAGCCAAATTTGAATGCTAAAAAAAAACGCCAAGTAAATAAAATAAGGCATCAAAATCTTGAAAAAATAAGCAGTATTCTCTGCTCTCAAACACTGGGGCGTGTCTGCTGTCATGGCTGAAACCATGCCATGGTTTACATGCCAACATATTATAGTGTTAGGGGAGGGGCCATGCTCAGTGGTTCCAGGGCGTCATCGATACATGATTTCAGTCCCGCCCAAAAAATCCTGAACACAAAAATGGCGAAAAACTGTTTGTCTTGTTGGGATGTTAATCAAATTGTGGCCCTGAACAGGCAACCATAAATAAAAATATCTGTTGAATAAAACAAAGACTTTTAATA